CAACCAATCCTCTGGATGAACCACCACGACAGCTCCCCCATGAGCAAGACGAACAACCGTGATTCGAAGACATTGCGAACCCCAAAGAGTGAACCCGAAAGAGCGAACCCCAAACAAAGACAACCACTGACAACGAAGAAGAACTCGCCAACCGCGAACCACCACTGCTCCGTCTTCCCGCGATCACTGCCTGCCTCTGTCTTCTTTCTCGGACATGCCCTAATCTCCAACAAATCAGCCCCAAATCCTTTTATCCCCAATTTTTAATAAAACCCAATTTTAAAATGGGGAACCCTAACACCACGTAAGCACGCAAACAATTGCGTATTGACACCTCACCAAATACAACTGCCACATCATCAGCCCACTAACTCCGTTTCCTTCTATTTAACGAAAGGGACTCATTAGAGTCAAATAATTACAAGTAAGGATCCATTGAACTCACATTTCTATAAAGGGACTAACTTGAGATTTCCGAACCAAAGTGGGGACAAAATTGGGTATTAAACCATTAAAAAAATTAGGTAGGTTGGTGAGCCAACCCGACCCACCACGAGTTCAATCCGTGTGAGTCGGGTTCTTAGTGAGCCGAGTCATTTGACTCTCATAAAAAATTTTGTATTTTTTTCCAACCCAACCCGATTCAAACCCGTGGTGAACCGGGTTGGCTCACGGGTTTCAACCCATTTTGACGGCTTATGTATGGCTATCAATAGGTATTTGAAAAATAATACTAAATGAAGATAGCATACATCTTTAATTTATCAAGCATACATCTTCAATTTATTGAACAAAATACAACAAAAGAACTTCACTTTAATGCAAATGAAAATCAATAACTTTTGAAGCACCACATTGAAAAAAAAAATCAACAAGATTGATTATATAGTAGACGAAACCCAAAAGTCAAAACTAAAAAGTGCCGTATAAAAAACCTAAAACTAAGAAAGAACTGGGGATAACACAATTAAAAGTCCAACCATTTCTGATAATATTGACAATTTGTTGGGGATATAATACCATTTGGTGTACAAAATTTAATCCTAGGACAAACCCCACAAGGAATAGAAGCCATGGCACCAACTTTTACATTGGTGCCTATCTTTTTCGCCATCCTAAAACAAACTTCACCAGCAGGAACAGATGAAAAATCCCCAAAGCCAGTGCTGTTCACCTCTTGTAACTTATTTTCCATAACCAAAACTTTCAAAATTTGTTCCACCTGTCCTGGACTGACTCCCCCAGGAAAAACCTCACTTCCTAAGGTTCTAGTCCACTCAAGTATTGCATCGCGGGTAGCGATCTTTTTCCGAGAAATAAGCTTCAAGCAGACATCAGACAGAGCATCAATGAGCTGTGTGTCGAGCCTGCCTTCTGTATACCACTCTCCACCAGTGATCTCCTTAGAGGGCTCGAATTCCATGGCCATCAACACCTTCTTGGACTTGTTTTGGATGTTCACAACTTCCTTGATAAGAGTCTTGGAGATTAGCAATTTGATTGATTTCTTCAATATGCTGTCAGGGATGTTGGTTTCTCTTTTGATGTCCCCTTGCCATATCCCCATCTCCTTCTTCCCGCGAATGATATTGTAAATCACCCGCTCCTCGTTGGTCATCGACGCAGAGAGTGCAGAAGCCAGGTCTTGGCGCTTGCGTTTCCCTTGCAAGATACTCATCGTTCTTGATGACACTAAGTCTGAAAAATGTGTATACAAAACATTCAAACGCAAATATATGATTGTAACTATGGAATGATTGTGTTTTGAGTAAAAAATCCCAAAGATCAAGGGAATATAACCTAAACATGATAGCACAACATACCTCGTAATGGTTATCACAATGTCCGACACTGACCGCGTAATCTGAAACTCCCGTTGTTTTCTCGTCACTGCACGGTTACGCTAATTGAGTTTAGGTCAGGACTATGAGATGTAATGGCTAATGGGGCTTGGGCGAATATGGGTTTTGTTCTCTTTTTCTTTTTGAGTGTTGCTCCCTCTACCACCATCAAATGTTCCCTACACCTCCCCAAATATTTTTTAATTACAAAAGTACGGTTAAACTCGATTTGGTCGCACAAAAAGAGAACAAAACCTAAGTTTCTCCACTAATGTAACAGAAGGGAAAACCTCGGGATCAATCCAAGGACTCAACTAAAATTAAGCTTAAAGTGTAGAGTTAAATCTTTTATTTTATTTATTATTAACTAACTAAAAGACAAGGTGGGGAAATTAAAAATAAAAGACATGTAATTTTAAAAAGAAAATAAACTAGAATCTGTTTAAAGAAAGAAAAAAAATGAAATAAAAGAAAAAAAATAGAAATCTAAACTACTAAGAAATAAACCTGAAATGTAAAGAAAAAAATGGTATCAGACAAGATCCAACAGTGCTATATTCAACAAATATAAAAGCTAAGAAATCTAAATGCTAAATGACATGAACCTATATGAAATGATACAATGACAGAATGAACCTAATCTGGACAGTGAAAGAATGGTAAAATGAAGTGAAAAGTCAAAGTTGAATGAATCATGAGTAAACAACCTAAAATCTAAGAAATTAAAATCTAAAATCCAATTATCAGAACTCTAAAAAAAATGATCAATTCAAAACATTAAGGAAAGAGAAAACAATATAAATGGATGAAGAATTACTAAATCAGAATCTAGAACACCTAAAAATATTACTCAAACACTAAATCATTGATTAGATTCATGAATTGGAATCCAAAATGCAAGGATTAGTACATCATAGTATTTATTTGCAACTCAGGAAGACATCCTGTAAAGGTATACCCTCTTTGGGGTAATTAAGTCCCAATTCAGAACTTAGTTTGTGCAAATGCATACTCTCTATAACAAACCATAGCAAATGTGACTCTAATGCAATCTTTTAATCAATATCAGATGCACAACCTAACCTAAATGCAATTAAACATACAATCTACTCTAAGAACCTGTAAACTCCTAATGAAAATAGACTAGCGTAAACAACTCATCATAAGCAAAAATCTGGAATCAAGAAACTAACTAAGCTACTTGCAATCAAATAAAAGAACCTAATTACAATCTACCTAATCAGATCTGTTATCAATTGAATTCAAAACAAAACCAGAAATTGAATGAAACTGATGGAAGAATTAGAATAGCAATGTGCATCACCTAAAATTGAAGTAAACTCATAAAACCTAAATGTAGAAACAGATGCTAAATCAAGAACTATCAAATGCATAAAACTAATTTCAACCGACAGAAATCAAAACAATGGAAACTATCATTATCTAAAACATTTAACAGTTTAAAAGCACAACTGAAACTTTAGGAAGCGTAAAATCTGCATAAAACTCCTAAACAGAACCAGAATCTTGAACAGAAAGTAAAACATCACAATGTAATTGGACTAAATTGAATTGAACACAGAAAATTACAAGAGAAAGCACCGTAAAAGCAACGCCGAGGTGCTCACGGGCTGTCACCACCGTGAGGCTCGATCAACAATCCAAGAGCGTCAAAAATCTACACTACGAAATGCGCGTAAACCCTAACTATGACTATCTCGCACGACTCTCTCGTAAGGGTTAAAAGTGGAATTTTTGGAATTACAGGATGGGAGGTGTAAGATGAAAAGTGGAATTTTTGGAATTAGAGGATGAGAGATGTAAGATTGAACACTCCATTTCTTATCGTGTAAAGCCCTAGCTTGAGAGGGTTCTTTGCTTCTCATTTGGACAAAGTGAACACTGCACCTCCAAGATTTCACGCTGCAACTCCAAAATTTAACAAAATGTCTATTTCACCCCTAATTAAAAACATTTTTAATTTGTTTTAATTTATAGAAAACTGAAAAGAATCTAGTCAAAATTCTTGACCAGTTTTAGTTTCACTTTTAGGTTTCTCTCTCACATTTTGGCATCTTCCAGTCTTGGATTTCATTCTTCTTCTTTACTCTCTTTTAATTTATAATTAGTTAATATATATTTAAAATTTTAATCATACAAAAAAAAAATTCAAAATCTATAATTAAATTATAAAATTATAAACTAATACAATAAATTATAAAATTATAAATTATCTAATAAATTTAAAAATAAATACCAAAATAATAATAAATAAGTGCCTAAAAAATCATTCAAAATTTTGATATCAATTTTACATACCATTTTTTTAAAATAATTTAAAAAAGTCTCACAATTTGAAAATTTTAACAAAATGAAAAACTAATAGAATAAATTAAAAACTTATAATTAAATTATAAAATCAAAAAATAATCTATAAACTTAAAAATTAAAACACTAAAATAATAATACTTAAAACTACCTAATAATTTTTAAAATTATTTCATATAAATTTTAAATAAATTTATATTTTTAATAAATTTAAAATATTCATACAAATTATTGTATACAAATTATCTAATTAAAAGTTTATAAATAGTATAATTAACCATTTTAAAATAATATAATAAACTTTTTCACTCAAAATAAACAAACTTTTAAATTTTAAAATAATATTTATAACATTTTAAAAGAAGAAACTTTTAGATTATAAATAATATAATTAAACATTTAAAAATTATTTAATAAACTTTTAGATTTTAAAATAATATAATACAATTAAACATTTAAAATAAACAAACTTTAAAAAAATATATATGGCTCTACGAGACAAACATGTCTGGGATATTGAAGTGCGAGAGTACAAAATAAACAAAATTTAAAAAACGTATATACCTCTAATATGGAAATGCGATGGTGTTTGGCTTAAGCACAGTAAACCTTAACCATTTAGGCTCCTCCGGTTTGTACAACACAGGTGTGTAGTTAGGCATGTCAGCACCTTCGAAATCTCATAGATATATGATTTTCGCACTTCCGAAATCAACTCCTGCATTTTCCGAAATCAACTCCCAATTTCCAATGGAATTTACTAGAAAAGGAGCCTTAGTTTCTTGAGCAGGTGGAGGGAAAGGAAAGGGTGGGAAGAAGGGAATAGGTGGGGGTTCAAAAAAAGATGGTTACTGAGGAGGAGGTGGTGGTGATTCAGAATAGAAGGAGTCTTGAGAAAATAATGATTTTTGGTCTTGGTACTCGGGAAGCAGGGGCTCATGGCGAAGATGATGAACACGAATATGTGTTTGTGCTTTCTTTTGTTTCTGACTTCAGCCACAACAAGGAACGAAGATAGAGAAAATAAAAAGAACCTTGAGATGGTTGATCATGATGGATATCAAAATAAGCAGAAACACCTCTACACACGGCGTGTTAAAGCCTCTGCGTGGGTTTTTGGTTTCTGACGAACAATTCTCGGATATCAAAATGCTAGAGAAAAAAGTATGCTTCGGAAATGGAAATGGGAGAGGTACAACATCGGATTTCAAAATCCGATTTTTCTTTTGTCGGTTTTTTATATCCGACTCGTGGAAGCATGCGCATGTTTGATGTCATAATCTTAAAATACCACTTTTTCACTTCTAATGCCAATACTTTTACTTTCAACTGCCTGGAACCACCACTTCCAACCAATAAGTTCAACAAAAATTTTCCTCAATTTCTTTGAAGGACTATTGAAGCAAAGAAGGAAAGAAAAATAAAATGGAAGTACAGACAGAGGGCATAAGAGGGAAGAAGAAAGTATATATTCCATGTTACTTCAATTAATACACTGAACTTTAAGGGTATTTATGAAATTTGGAAGTGCATAATGAAACCTTGGAGGTACAGGATGAAAGGCCCTTCCTAGAGTTGCAGCAACTTCCCACCAGAAAGCACAACTTCATTAATTAGAGCCCAAACCACCTCAGCGGCCTTGTGCAATAATCTAGCCTCTCCATCTCAAGGGTGTTACTCCCTCCACCCCCACACGTCTCTTCCTCCACCTCCCCAATTTTCTAAAATACCAATTATATCCTTTTAAAATGACAATTATATCCTCAAAAGTTAAAATTTTTTATTTTTATTATTTTAATATTTTAATTTATTTAAAACTTCTGATTTACTTCCCTCTGCACCTCTTCCTCTCTTCCATTTTCGTTTACCTTTCTCTCTTCCGTTAAGTTTCTTCTCCACCTATAACAAATTCATATTTTAACAAATTCATATTTTAACAAAATTATTACGTTTAAAAACTAACCATATATAACATTTAAAATTATAAATTTAAATATAAATTACTGTAAATAAAATAAACAAATAAAATAAAAACAAAACGTAAAAGGAAACGGATGACATCCTTCAACGGATGTCAACATCCGTTGAAGGCAAAACGAATGTCGACATCCGTTTTGCCTTAAACGGATGTCGACATCCGTTTTGCCTTAAACGGATGTTGACATCCGTTGAAGGATGTCATCCGTCCATAGGCAGTGTTCCTTTTACGTTTCGTTTTTATTTTGCTACGTTTTGCGGCTCATGCAAGGATTATAGGCTTGGATATTAAAAGGATTATTGGAAGTATGGGAAGGATTTAGGGTTTAGGATTATTGGAAGGATTATGACTACGTACCTGGAGAGGAACCACGACAAGGACACTACACCATAAACGCACTGCACCACGTACTGCACCGAGAACAAGAAGAAGATTGTTTGATAATTCTTTTCACGATCACCAAGCTTTGTAGAAAAATATTTTACTCATACAAGAAACTACGTAGGTTATCAGTGAAATATGTTATAAATGAATAAAATTAAAAAACAACAATTTTAAAAATAAAATTTTACTGAGGGGCAAAATAGTAAAGGAAAGGTGGAGGAAGGGGCAAAATAGTAAAGGGGAGGTGGAGGAAGAGATGTGTGGGGGTGGAGGAAGCAACACCCCCATCTCAATTGCAGAAGCCCAATGCATCAAATCAGCCCAATAGGTGCAACAGCCCAATCCCATTTATTAATCAGTTGCAGCCCATTTAAGCACTAGTCCTATGAATGTTACTCCCTCCACCATCCTATCTTCTCCCTCCACCTTTTCAACTTTTTCTAAATTCTAATTTTATCCTTTTTACTTTTATCTTTACTTATTTTACTTTATATTTTTTTAAATCCTAATCTCCTTTCACTTTCATCCTTTCTCTTAGAGACAAGCCCCCACCTCCACTTTCACTTTCTCTCTTTCTTTTCAATTTCCACATTCGTTAACAGACTCCTGTAACCGATTACTAGAGGAAAAATGGTCATTTGTACAGAAAGTTCAACTATACTCCCCAACTGGTACAACAACACTCCCCATGA